GCTATGCTATGATACTGTCTCCTCTCAGCAGGCCAGAATAACAGATGGATGGCAAGGCTTGTGCACATTTAAAAGGGCGTGTATGCATGTGTTTATATTCAACATTCATACCCAAGTGTCAACTTAAACTTCACAGTCCCTTAAAGCACGATATTTACTTTATTACCCAACATTTTATTATGCCAAAGTAGTTGGGGAAAAAATGGAGAATGTTTGCCATGCATTTCCCCTATGCATACCCAATGTTTTTAATCTGCATTAATATATATAATACACAATTCTAGGATTTAGTGGACTGTTAAGGACATTATTGTATAGGACAAACCATGTCCAGTTGAGGTTGTAAAATTGTAATGATTTCCACAAGTACAGCAACAACAAAAATACAACTCTCCATCTCTTCTTTAAGTCTTTTAATTGAATAAATGGTGGAAGAAGAAACTGAAGGCAATAGCATTTTCCAGAAAACTCAAGAGTACTATTATTTGCTGAATACTGAAAACTTTCACCCCAGAACTATAACTGCCAGAGATTATTGGAAAGAAAGAACAGCTTGTCAGCTCTTATGGTTGCAATGTATATATGCCAGAGAAAGACATGGAATAGGAAAAAAATGCCTTAAAAGAAAGTAAGAATCCTTAAATAGTTAACAGAATTTGACAACGGAACAGGATCAATAAAATGCAAGAGTTATTTATAGCCGACCAACTATTTTGAAGAAATGTAGTATATCCTTTTGGTCAAATTTGTACATTAACTTCCAATTAACCAAAACATATTTTATAGAATTAATCCAATAACACAGGCTCCCACCACCTGAGCCAAAAACTAGTCAATCATCTTTTAGCAATGCACTAACATATATTTGATAGTTACATCAAATGAGAATTCACACACATGATGAAAGGAGTCCCTTTTCTTAATCATTTTGTTAACACAACAATGTTGTCTTTTGAAAAGATAGGTCTTAAGACAGGGGTCTCAAACTTGGCCCTTTTATGACTTGTGGACTTCAACTGCCAGAATTCCTCAGCCAGCGTGCCTGGCTGAGGAATTCTGGCAGTTGAAGTCCACAAGTCATAAAAGGGCCAAGTTTGAAGACCCCTGTCTTAAGATCTTTTAAACTACTTTCTAATATATTGTTCTTTCCTCCAAGATATTTGAGTTGAGAGGTCCTTGGTGCTCTCTGAGCTTGCTTGTTTTCTTGCAGATGTTTCATTACCAAAATTAGGTCACATCAACTAGTTTGGGTAATGCAACCTCTGCAAGAAATCAAGCAAGCGCAGAGAGCATCAAGGACTCCTCATTTAAACCTTTAGCTACAAATACTCCCCTTTATTGATATTTGAGTTCTTCTCTGTCCCAGTAATACAAAAATTATTTGTTTTGGATTTTAACTTTAAGCCTATAATTTCCCTTCAAAGATCAGAACACTAGTAAGTAGCTTCCAGTGGTAGGTTGATGATTTTTCAGCCTGTAATTAAAAGCAAATGCAATTGGTCATATGTAATATCCTGCAGTTTGCCACATTGCTTTGAAGCTGACCTTCCTGGAAAGTTGCTGAAGCCTTTCAGGGTGTGATATGTATTGTAGCTGGGCTTCATTAGTGTAGTTAGAATTTCAATGTCATTATATAATTACAACCAAAAATAAATCAGAAGGGCTTGAACTTTGGTACTCTAATTTCAGAGTAATATCTATGGAACAAATGTAGTTTAGTTAGAAATGCAATCTTGAAATATTATCTATATTGGAATAGGCCACATGAGTTCATCACAGATTCCAAATGACTTCTTACTGAGCACTTAAGATTTCAAAATATTCTACATAAAACAATAGCTACCCTTCCTATGCTCACTCTATTCTTTAGTAACTTGAACACCTCACTGATCCATCTGCCTCTTGACCTTTCTTCCCCTTCTTAACTCCTGTTGGGGTTGACTGCTTCCTCACTGTCATGGCCATTTTCTCAATCATCAGCCCTTCTCTTATAAGATCACACTTCTAATGCAATTCCTCTGGTAGCTAAACCTTTGTTCTTAAAGGAAGGTCTCAGGTTATCTCTGAAATTTCAATTAAATCAGAAGCCTTGATAATTCAATAAGCTGCCTGTCATTTTGAGTCAAAACATGAGGTTATTTGATCTGCTGTTTATATTTCTAAAGACAGAGGGCATCAAAGCCATCAGTGCAGACAGCTTAAAGACAGATGGTGTAGCAGTGATTTTATCAAGCATTTTTCAAGACATCCAGTGGAGACCAAAAGGTAGTTATCTATCAACTGTTTATACAGTTGAACTTATACAGTGCTCTTTAAAAGAGCCTTCACCAATCCATAGACCTCAAGATGTGGTGAGATCAGAGACCCCAAACTATCAAGCCAGCATAGACAATAGCTATACTGTCTGGTGATTTCTGACTGATTTACACAGAACCAACCTATCGGTATTACTTGAAACAGAGTAGAAGTGGGGATACACGAATCCTGTCCTCCATTACAGATGGAAGCTGGTGGATGACATTGGGCCAGTCAGCCCCTCTGAGTTGAAAGCAAATTGAAAAACATCAATGAGCCAATCATGCTAAATCAGCAAAATAGATTATTGTCATAACCTTCAGAGAAGAAGCGTTCCTCTTGGAAAGATCTGATAGAAATCTTGGTTAATTAATTGCATGAGTTTAAATACTTCATCTATTAATCAAACAGTATTGCTTACATATGATTAATAATATACTTTTATTCAAATTAGCACATCATTTTGGGTTAATTATCAGTTGCTTAGCAACCTTTCAAAGTTACAATGGACTTCTCCAGAGTTACTGATGACACATTTTTGATGTTCCAATGGCCATACCGCCTTCCCTCATGGTCACGTGATTGCATTTTGAGTGCTTGGCAAATATTATTAGAAATATTATTAGATAAGGGGGGGGTGATGTATTCCACTTAACCTGGAGAAAAATAAAGGTCAAGTCAACTATCAATATAATTTCAGTTTTGTACCATGGCAAAATTTTCACATATTTAGCAATTATAGCTCATTGCTAGAAATTTAAGGTCAAATTAATCAGCAAAACTGAACTTTTGGAAGTAGGATTTGTTTTACTGACAGGCAAATATTAAGTGTATTTTATTATTAAAAATCTTATCTGGAACAGTCTACTATTTGGGAATTTGGGGAATTGTAGTCCAGAATTTTAAAGTATGTTACATTAGACAAAAATGGGCAATTATGCCCAAGCAAGTAGAGTCAAAGTCTTAGAGTTTGATCACTGTAATTTGAAAAAAAAAGATATCATAAAGGTTACTGTATTTTTCTATATTTATTTATTAATTTACTAGCTCTGCATAGTGAATTAAAGTAGAAAATATGCACTTTTCATTTTAAAGAAGATATAATGTTCAAGAATTGAGGAAATTTATCTGACTTGTCCCAATCCTATTAGCCTTCCAGAAGGCCCTGACGTCTTGACTATTTCTTTGGGTATTGGAGCAAGGATGTTAGAGTAGCTTGTCCCACAATTGGTATGCCCCAACTGGTCTTTAGTTGTAAAGATAGTCCACAATTTATGACTCCAACTGAGTCCAACATTTCTATTACTAAGCAAGACAGTTTTAAATGAGTTGCACGGCCATTTTACCATCTTTTTTGCCACAGTTTTTAAGCAATCACTGCAGTTGTCAATGAACTATGCAGTTGTTAAGCTAACCTGGCTTCCCCCATTAACTTTGGCTGTCAGAAGCCAGCTGGGAAGGTTACAAGCAGTGCAAATGTCATAAATACATGTCAGTTGCCAAGCGCCCAAATTCTGATCATGTGACCATGTCACAAGTCACTTTTTTCAGTGTTGTTGTACTTCAAAGGGCCACTAAACAAATGGTTATAAGTAGAGGTCTACCCACATTGCAAATCTCTTTTTTGTAATAGGACTTCCTATAAAATAAACAAACAAACAAACAAACAAACAAACAAATCTTGACATTCACTATTTTACATTGTTATTAGTCAAGTACCAAACCATGATATATCAAGGATCCCTCAGAAATAGTTGGGACAGGGTTCACTACAATGAGAAGTTATAAACTTCTGCAAACTAGTCAAGATATTTCATTTTTTGTAAAATTTTTCAGAATCTCCAGCAAGAGGAATTTGTAAATTGCAGACAGCCTGAGAGATGTACATCTAACTACTCTATGTAATATAGGGATCAGGGATCGGAAGCTCTGCTCTGTCTCCAGCAGGATCTGTATTCTCCTTGTGACCGTTTTTGTTTTCTGTTTCCAAAATAATAGTTTTTAGGAAATTATTTGTGACACGGATCATAATCAAAGTCTTGCATACCATCTTTGAGAATGAATCCATCCAGGAAAATTGATTGCAATTCAAAGCATGAAAGAACACCTAATTTTATTTTATCCTGTCACATCACAGGGACATGGATTTGTAATTTGACAAATACAAATGAGGAATGTATGTGTGTTCATTGTGCAAGAAGAAAATTCAAAGAAATGTGTCATCTGATTCATCACAGATCAAAGTAACTTTTCTCGCTTTAGTGATTTACAGAATCATTATTTGTTATATCCTGAGGGAAATCCTGCCAGGTAACAATAAACTTTTAATTTTATTGTTACCTGGCAAGATTTCCCTCAGGATATAACGAATAATGATTCTGCAGATCACTAATTTTATTGTTACCTGGCAGGATTTTCCTCGGGATATAACAAATAATGATTCTGCAAATCACTAAAGCGAGAAAAGTTACTTTGATCTGTGATGAATCAGATGGCACATTTCTTTGAATTTTCTTCTTGCACAATGAACACACATATATTCCTCATTTGTATTTGTCATATTACAAATCCATGTCCCTGTGATGTGACAGGATAAAATAAAATTAGGTGTTCTTTCATGCTTTGAATGTGATAAAATGTATTGACCTTTAGCTTCCTTCCTCCCTCCCTTATATGAACAGCAACAGAAGTCACCAGAAGCTTACTCTTTAGGAGGGTTCAGGTCCTCCGGTCGGGACTCAAAAAAACGAAAGACTTCATCACATTGTGAGATATGAGGTGGAAGCTTTACCAGTGCCTGTTAAAAAGAAAAAAAAATTAGACATCCAAGCAAGCAGGAAATAAAAAGATAAGAAACACTGGGATTACCTTAACTAACACCTGTGGGTAAACAGAACAAACTGCACAAAGGCTTTCATAAACAAATATTAGAGTTTTAATAATGTAATAATTAGTATTGATTTGATTTTTAAAATTAATTATATTCATGTTACAATTACGTTTTACATTTTACATATTTTAAAATTGTTGAGCTGTTTATTTAAACAAATGGAAATACAAGATATACAGTCCAAAATAAATTTAAATTTTGAGCTTATTAACATGGTTACCAATGTTAGTACTGTTCCCTTTTCTCACTGCTGCTCATAATAAACATTCTGATACTTTTCAGAAGCATCACTTTAATGGTGGGCACTTCAGTTCTGTCATACTAACCAGCAAAACATTGGCAGGAGATTTTGGGAATTACAGTATTGCTCAGTTTGTGTTTCTTTTAAAAAGGCTGATCGATGACATATCAACATCAGAACTGCATGTTTAAATAAGGTGACCAACCGTCCTCCTTTTGGGAGGACAGTCCTCTTTTTTTGAGTTCTGTCCTCTCTCAAAAAGTGTCCTCCTAAATGTCCTCCTTTTCCATATACCGTCCTCCTTTGGGAGGACGGTCCTCCTTTTGTGAGTTCTGTCCTCCCTCGAAAATGTCATCCTAAATGTCCTCTTTTTCTATATTTGAAGACTTATCTGCAGGGCTTTTTTCCCCTCATAGAATGCCCAGAAGGTGTTCTAGGACCTTTTTTTGATGTTTTTTTTCAACTTTTGCCTGAGCTGTGCTACTCCCCCTATTGGCTTTCGAAAGGCAATAGGAATTGCTGCTGAGCGCGCCAAAACACCCAGGCGGCAAACTTTGCACGTGCAAGTTGCAGGAACTTTGCACCCCTCACTGCTACCTAACTACACCATCTCTTACTTAGTTCTGCAGATAGCTGGAGAAGACTGGAGCGGTAAGTTTCTCTTGATCTTCCCTGTTCGATTCTACATGGGATGCACAGGGTAGGCGTGGTGCTGGGGGGTGGCTGCAGGGCCAGAGCCAGCGCGGCTGGTGCTTTACGAGCCACGGGGCTGGCTCTATGGGGATGCGCAGGATGGGCAGTGGTGCTGGGGGGTGGCTGGGGGGACAACTGCAGGGCCGGACCCAGAGCAGCTGGTGCTTTGCCTTTGCGAGCCGTGGGGCCGGCTCTACGGGGATGCGCAGGGTGGGCGGTGGTGCTGGGGGGCAGCTGGGGGGGAGGCTGCAGGGCCGGAGCTGGCGTGGCTGGTGCTTTGCCTTTGCGAGCCGTGAGGCCAGCTCTACGGGGATGCGCAGGGTGGGCGGTGGTGCTGGGGGGGCGGCTCAGGGCCGGAGCTGGCTCGGCTGGTGCTTTGTGAGCTGTGGGGCCGGCTCTCCACGGCAGGGCAGCGGTGCTGGCAGGGCAGCTGTGGGCGGGGGCGCGGTGGGCAGTTGACCTTCCATGGGCTGCGCCAGCTGGTGGTCTATGCAGTGCTAACCTGTGCTGCCACCACCTCACCCTGCGCATCTACGTGGCCATCCTGGAGCGCCTGGCTCACAACACCTGCCTCCGCCGCCCATCCCCGCGCAGTCCAGCCGTGTAGATTTTTGGACAAGTGAGAAATCAAGATTGAATGTTGATACTCTATATGCAGCACTTGCTGTAAAATTCAATATGAAGGATATTTCTTGTTCAGATATTTCCAATATATTGTTAGAAGATGATACATTGACAAAAAATATTCATTCAATGGAAAAATACTCATTTAAATAATTAATAGGCATGTAAGCATAATTACAATATAAAATGTTATTGTTACAAATGTTTTCATTATGCATTGATCATATTATAGTGTATTCTGTATTATTGTTGCAATAAATATAATGTTTCTTTTATTTACGATTTTTTTTCTTCAATTTATTCGTGTCCTCCTTTTTGTTGTAAAAAAGTTGGTCACCTTAGTTTAAAAGAAGAAGAATCATTCAAACAAGCGAAAGATATTTTTTATATTTAAATAAGCAATGAAAACAGTAATCTTATTTGCTTCATAATTCAAATACTGTCTATTAGAAATGTAAGAATTAAAATTTGTTTGTGTGTGTTTGTGTATGGGCGTGCACGTGCACTTGTGAGTCAGTGTTTGGTACTACTTGGACAAATCTTGTTTTGCAAGATTTCAGAAGTGGTTTGCCGCTGAGAGGAAGGACTGAGAAAGTGTCATGGTCACCAAGCTGGCTTTATGCCTAAAATGGGACTAAAACTCACGGTCTCACAGTTTCTAACTTATTTATTTATTTATTTATGAGACTTATATACCGCTTTAAGTGCAAGCACTCTCTAAGCGGTGTACACCAGTAAGCAATGAATATATATTTACATTGCCCCCAACAATCTGGGTCCTCATTTTACCTACCCCGGAAGGATGGAAGGCTGAGTCAACCTTGAGCCAGTGAGATTTGAACCGCTGATCTGCTGAACACAGTCAGCTAAAGTGGCCTGCAGTACTGCACTCTAACTGCTGCGCCACCTAGTTAAAACATTGGACGTTATACTAACTTATGTACCTAGATAAGAAGGGATCCAGTTTGTACTCTTTGACTCTATTTTAGATATATTGATTTTGTGCTCCAAAAATATTGCTGATATTTTGCAAGGCATTAAAACTTGGCTTTGCTGTCAGGCCTGAGGCCCTGATAGCATGTCTGAGTCTGTTTCTTGGTTATATTGATTGTTATATATTGTGGTTGTTCTTGATTGCTATATCATCATCATATTATTTGTGTTTTTCATTATTGGTTGTGCTTTTACTCTTTTTTATTTTGTTTTAATTGTTAGCTACCCAGAATTATGTTATGTGGTATGGAAGGCCAGGTCTATGTATTCAATACATAAATAAATAATTATAAGGATCCTGGTTTGCTGATTTGGTTAAGGCTTAGGTTTTTAAAAAATGAGAATAGACTTAATATGGAGAACCTCCATAGAAAGTGGAAGGTGTGCATTATAGCCAATCATTGTCATTACATGAAAAATCCCAATCGCTTTAATTTATATTTACTTCTATTGAAGATGAATAGAGTCACATTATTTACATTTTCTGCAATACTTTTTATATATAACTAATAAGAAAGGAGTGAGAATAGAAATTCTAGTAGCCACACAACTACTTTGGTGGCATCTAGTCTTTGCATTCTATGCTTAGTCAGGAAGATCAAAATGTCCCATCCCTTTTCTTGTATATAGAGTTAACAGTATATTTCTTGACTGATTTGTGAATTGGATTGCTATAACATCATAATGGAAATGATTCCACCAAATAAGGATTGCAAACCATTATGTGCTCTTGGCTTAGTTATTTTATTCCACTCATTCCTGAAAGGTGCAGATAAATTACTTATAGCATATTTTGACTATTTCAGCACAACAAACAATAGCTTGACAGAATGGGAAATGTTTTATGAAGCCAGGTATATAAGGATGAAGAAATACAGTCATAGCCTATTCCCAATTTTTCATGAGAGAATCTGAAAATGGATCATCAAAATAAAACCTGTACTTGAACCATTAAGTAGAGTTAATTCAAAAAGAAAAAATATTGATACCATAATATTTCCTAGAGCCGTCTTAGATGATACCCAACAAATTTCCTCTACAAATGAAAAATCTTATATTCTTATATTAATTGGTAATCTAATATGCTATCTCAAACTATTAATGGACAAAGTGCTGGTGCAAATTTTAACCAAAACATAAATTGTTCTTTTTATTTTATGCACAGCAGAGGAGAAAATGAACACACAATATTCAGATGTTTCAATGAAAAGGTCAATAAAAAGGTCAAAAACTGACTGATAAAAAACGGCAGCCTTGCCCCTTTGTCATTTTATAAAAGACTGAATGATCCTTCTGGAACTTAAGTAGACAGAAGGGAATATAGAGGCCTCTAAACCTTTTTAAAAGTTAATCAAAATAACAGAAATCCAAGGAGTAAACATTTCCATTACTCTACAGTAATACAATTAAACAGACTATGGAAATATAAAATTAGGCTGCAGATCACTTGTGTCTCAAAGACTGCAGATTGCCACAGTTGAGTTAGATACTACATATTCTAAATGAAGCTAAAGAAAAATATGGAGATAGCTTTAAAGTCCTGTTATGTAAATATCAACTTAGAAGGCAGAAAGAAATTGAAGATAAACCCGCCCTGATTCTGCTTTGGCTGAAATGTTGATAAAGGGAAATTCTGATTGGTTTAAAGTTTCTGCTTTCTTTCAGGATTTTTTTTTTTTACTTTCCAATCTAGCCAATAACCCTGAAATTCCAAAGCATTCCCCCTTTCAAGTATTCCCAGTACCAATACCCTCATTAGTTTCCAAGATCAGCCAAGATTAGCTAGGTACTGCCAACTGCCAAGAATTCCTTTTGATTTGCACTAGAAAGAAAAAAGCAGAAAGGAATCTTGTGGAAAAGAAGTCAATTAAATATTCAACAGACAAATGATGTATTGTTAAGACAGTGATCTATTGGTAGCTTGATATAGTTGTGGGAGTTGCTCTAAGTTTGTATGGAAGTCAGTTGCATTCAAAATTCATAGTCCATTCATTCCAAAAGACAAATTTAACTTATATATTTGCCAAATATACATAATATATAAAAGGATTCATAAAAAAACATACTGATTTGAATGATAGATTATGCTGTGATGTTAAATGTTCCAATCACTCTTTCTTATTTAGGGCACTTTTTATTTGCTTATATTTTGCTTACAACTCATTGTCACACATGTGACAAGCTAATGAGAAGAAATGAGAGGAAATCTTACTGTCTAGTAAGTTGATACAAAATATAGCATTTGGCAGAAATAGAACACTTGACAAATGTTGATAATCTCTGGTTGACTTGCAGGAACGCAACGTACTACTTCTCATATGACAGTCTGATTAACAAATGAAATAAATTAGTGGAAGTAAAATTGCTCTTACATTTGTTCTGAAGCACAAAATTTGTACTTATAAATGAACAATTAATGGCAAATATTAGTGTGAGCTCATATAATTTGTATAAGATTTGTAGCCTTCATTTTCCTGATATTGAATCAATAGTTGCATGTAAATATTGATTACATAAGATGTTCCATACATATTTTCCTAGACAAATTGTTTAGAATGGATATTTCTTTTCTTTGTACTTCAAAGTCTTAAAAGTCTATTGCAAAGTTTCAGCAATATGTTTTGGTTAGATTGAAGTCCAACTGGACAAATATTCTGGATGATTTAGAAACTCTGTTAGGATTCTTATTAGTCAGCCCAGAACAGTGTATTATTATTCCCAAATATGCAATTGAAGTGAGTGAATAAAGAGATTGTAAAAGGATAAAAAGCCAGTAAGCCTTTACAATTGTTTCTTATGTCACAATTTAATGTAGTAAATTAGCTTTTCCAATAAAATACCACATGCTTATTAAACTAGTACTCCCAGTTAAGTTTCCTCTTTGAACTTTAACATATAAAGCTGTATTGCCAAGTGTATCTAAAATATTTATTTGGATATCAGGATTCCTTCATAATCATGTTATTTATTCAACTTGCCACATAAGGAGGATCACCAACTTCAATCTCAAAAAGTTTACACTCTCAGATGAGTAACTAGAGGTCAAGATTAGCTTCTGGACAAGGCACAAAATGCACTTAACAAGTAATACATCACAAACCCAAATAGTTTGTTTTCTCTTGTGATAAAATTCTATATTATATATGGTCACTTTGACAGGTACTTTCAGATTTAACAGATACATTCAGAAATGCAAACTACTTCATAATTATTTTGCATTCTGTATTTTTCAGAAGTTTTGTTGAAAGTTCATTCTAGAATGCTATTTGGTTTAAATGATGACATTGATAATAATTTTGAGAAAAGGTTCCATAAATAAAACAGTGATATAAAATAGATCTACTCACATTACCTGATTCCAAATATATGACATATATTTGGTTAATCACTTAGGGAAGATAGATGTGAAATAAAAAAATACTTCAGGCAAGCATAAATAGGAGACTTAGTATCTGTGAACATGGTTGACTTATTTCTGTGAGGTTCTCTAGCTCTGATCTGGAAAGTTTAAGGACCTCAGTGAAGTCTTTCTCATAAACCCAAGAGACCTTCTCATAAACTGGCTGATCTGAATTTATTATTTGTTTCATTGGTCTCTAATTTTTAAATTAATTCACAAAATCTTTATGTCACTACAGTATGGGACACCATGACTATTAAGTCACAGAATGTTCCCAAGGTCTTGAAGACTTTATTTTTCCATCGGTCATTTGAAGGATGTTGGTGGAAGGGGTGTCTTAGGTAGATGAGATATTGCTTCATTTTCTGTTACTTTATTTGGTTTTATTTTGATTATAAGCCACGTAGGGAATAAGCAGTATAGTATAGTATAGTATAGTATAGTATAGTATAGTATAGTATAGTATAGTATAGTATAGTATAGTATAGTATATATGTAATATATTAAAATGTGTATAAAGGAATAAATGCTATGCATTTTTCATCGTGTTTTAAGAAGAAGTGTCACTTACCCTGCAGTATTCATCAATCGGCTTTAATCTCTTCACAGCTACATCTCGAATGTGACTTCTTCGGAATAGGATTTTCCCTAGTGACAAAGAAGATACAGAGATTAAATGTGTGTCTTGCCAAAAATTGTTTATATCATTGTCATTTTGATTCACATATAGATGGAAATAGCTGATGCATTCTACTTTACACCTAAGTAGCCATAAGTGGGTTTTGCTAAATTTACTTATTCTGAAATTTTTAGAGAAGGAAAAGTGCACAATTATTCATATATATTTCTGTAGTTGTTTTAATAAACATGATGTCCAAACATAACTTTCACTTACTTGTATATTACTACACACATTTTGAAGTAAGAATTGCAACATCCAAAAAAGGAATCAAAAGGATAATTATGAACTAATTGATCAATACACAAAAGTTTTGAGTACCTTAAGTAGTATTTTGTTTCAGAGTATACAGAATTAAATAAGCAAATAAATAATAAAACATTCTTACTGATTCACCAGTTTATTATTTCCTCCCTCTCCACTCCATTTCCTATCTTCCAACAAAAACTATATGTTTATGTAATACTCTTTTAACAGATGTATTATACATACATACATATTCCAGAAATGGACAGCAATCTATAAAAGCTTGTTTAAAAAGCAGATAAAAACATTTCCCTGACGGTCCTTTAAAGAAGGTAACCAAATAACTTTAGCTTGCCATGCTTTTCAAATCAACACAAATCCATCCCAAGTGGATGGAAATTTCTTTTAAATTTGTTGAGAATATTAGCTTAAGGGAGTTAGATCTGTTTTTGTGTATTGACAGATGTATATTTCATTCCATTGTAATTCAGTAATACTCCTAATTTAGCCATATGCTAATTCAGCTATCAGCTGAAGAAGACAAAGATACAATATTGAAAGGCACATTCTAAGTAAAATTAGCATGATTTATTCAGCAAGTACTTACAGGCAAATTGGAAAATGTGCACAGACACAAAAGGTAATCTAATGTATATCGAAATGCTTATCTAAAATTGAAAAAGCATGGAAAGTAAAAACCTGCTAAATTATTAATGAAGACTAGTAAATGTTCAACTATAATATATCTAAAAAGACATTGCTGATTGAGAATATTAGATTAGAGCTAAGGTTACTACTGTGGATATAATCTAATGGTGTCATTTATTGTCCTTAACTTGACAGTTATGATTTGCTATCCCATTTGTATTAAGCTGTTACTCAGAGTTCAGAATTCTGTACAAAAATTTGTCAATCTCATAACCACCACTACTATTTTAAGAACTCTCCACTTGGTTGCTGTAATTTGTAGTTAGACATGTCACGGCTCACTCCACAACGAGTGCTGCCACCTCGGCAGCATCGGCCATGCAGGCTTCCATTGAGGAGGTTTGCAGGGCGGCCACTCGGGCATCGCCTTCTCCATTTATTCGCCACTACAAAATTGACAAATACTCATCCGCAGAAGCCTCCTTCGGTAGGAGGATTCTCCAGCAGGTGTTAAACCAAAATTCCACACAGGACCTGTCTATTCCCCAACCCGAGGGACAATAGGCTTGGGTATGTCCCATTGGTGAATTATCCATCTCCAGTGCTGGAGAAGGGGCGTTGTCTTACCTGAACGCCTTTTCTCAGCACGGAGATGGATAATCCACACCCACCATCTTAGGCAGGGAGAATTAGGGATATTTAGTTTGAGCCAAAACGTCTTGCTGTCAGTCAATGGCTTCGCTCATGTCAAGACTGGGAATCTCGTGGTCCAGGACGGGCGTGGCAACTTTGACTGACTGATCTGATTGGGCAGGAATACAGTCTCAACCCATTGGTGGATTATCCATCTCCAGTGCTGGAGAAATAGTAACATTAAAACACACACTGAGGATATAGAAAAGTAGATTAATAAGATCTTATATAGGATTTACTCCAGTCAGATGAAAAGAGAGGAATAAGAAAGAAGGGATAAAGATCTAAAGTATTTGGGCTAGCAGAAGCAATAGGAAAGATAAACAATTAGGTTCTGGACTTAGTATTTTCAATGATATATCACACATGCATATAACAATTCTGCAAACCTTATTAAGCTTTAAATGTAATATATACAATCAGTATGATTCATTCATAATAGTTCTTGTGCATAGATGATTGGATTTACATTCGATTCTTTAAAGAATAGCAAGACCAAAGCTACTGTTTACAGATTTCTAGAAAGCCAGGAAAATAATATACAATTGCCAAAAATAATTACAATGAAGTGTATTGGTCTATCTCCAGGAAAGGAAAAGATTTCATCTGGTAGATCTCAAACTGGCTTTCCTTTAAGTCTTCATTAGTACCATATGATCTACTCCAGCATTAAAAAGTAGAGATTTTGTCCCTAACTTTAGAATAGCAAGTACGAAGTGATGAATAAATGGAACCATGAAAGAAGACCTTCCCCTTTAGAGAAAAATCTTTCTCCCTTATCTTTAACTATTGTTACTATGCTCTGAAGAAATATAAACATATAATTGGTACCACAGGCCAAATTTCTCACTAGGAAATTCTTTACAAGTATCTAAAAGACAATGAACAGTTAAGCCTCTGTTACATACAATCAAATTTGCAAACCATCAATATTAGCAGATTGCTTGAAGCAAGAGAAAGACAGCATTGGACAGAAAGTGTTCTTGTGACTAAACAGAAAATTCATCTCTCTTAGTAATCAACAAACTGTAATAATATGCAATTTGTGTCCATACTGTCCTCAATGTAGTCCTCAATGGCACTACATCCACATGGAGAGAAGTAAGCAGTGGGATATCATAAGGTTCAGCCTTAGGCCCAGTACTCTTCAATATCTTCATAAATGACTTAGATTAGGGAATTGAAAGGGAACACGTCAAATTTGCAGATGATACCAAACTGGTAGGAGTAGCCAACACCCCAGAAACAAACCCAGGATCCAAAAAGATCTTGACAAACTTGAACAATGGGCCTTATCCAACAAAATGAGTTTCAATGTGGAGAAAAGCAAAGTTTTACATTTAGGCAGGAAAAATCAAAGGTACAAGTACAGTTTAGGCAAGACCTGGCTCAAAAACAGTAACTGTGAGAGGTATCTTGGAATCCTAGTGGACGATCAACTGAGTATGAGCCAGCAGTATGCAGCACAGCCAAAAAAGCTAATACAATCCTGGGTTGTATAAACAGAGGCATAGAATCAAGATCACGTGAAGTATTAGTACCGCTTTATAAAATCCTAGTAAGACCACACCTGGAATACTGCAGCCAATTTTGGTCACCATATCACAAAAAAGATATTGAGAGTCTGAAAAAAATTCAGAGAAGAACAACTAAGATGATCAAAGACCTGGAGACTAAAACATATGAAGAACGGCTGCAGGACTTGGGTTTGGCTTGTCTAAAGAAAAGAAAAAATAGGGTGACATGATAGCAGCATTCCAGTATTTGAGGGGCTTCCACAAAGAAGAGGGGGTCAAATTATTCTCCAAAGCACCAGAGGGCAGGACAAGAAACAATGGTTGGAAACTGATCAAAGAGAGAAGCAACCTAGAATTAAGGGAAACTTCCTAACAGTGAGGACAATTAACCAGTGGAACGGCTTGTCTTCAGAAATCATGGGCACTCCATCACTGGAGATTTTTAAGAAGAGGCTAGAAAATCACCTGTCTGAGATGGTATACATTCTCCTGCTTGAGGGGTGAGGGGCACTGGACTAGAAGACCTCCAAGGTCCCTTCCAGATCTATTCTATTCTATTCTATTCTGTTCTGTTCTGTTCTGTTCTGTTCTGTTCTGTTCTGTTCTGTTCTACTCTACTCTACTCTACTCTACTCTATTCTATTGATTTCCTAAACTTTTTAGAAGTGCCCACTTTATTGGAACATCTCTTTGATATCTCTCTGAAGCTAAATAAAGCAGAAACTTGATAGATTAAAAAAAGACAACATGTAATATTAGTGAATAGTGACAGAATCAGTCTTATATCTTTAAGTCAAGAAATCCATACTGCCACATTTTTGGCAAGGGTTTATCAAAGAGCCTGACAGTCAGTTTGAAGTGCTGAAATCATACACTGATTGATGAAGCAGATTATTGAGCAGTTACAAACTAAAATATCAGATAACGATCAAATGTCATCCACAATTTAAAACAAGAATATACCAGAAGAAATAGATTTTAAAATTTAACACAATTACAATTATATTCTATATTATACTCTTGCACTTAAGTTAAAAGTCATCAGGGCATCCAAGAATATTCCTAATCAGTGATAATATGATTCTTACAACATATCACCCATAAAAACATTGCAAGATCTTAAATGTGAGCAATGATTCCAATAGCCTTACAATATGTCTAAGTTTCTTCATTTCAATCTTGATGCAACTTAACAAGCATAATTAAATAGAAAGACACATATTTTGAACTGTGCATTTCATGAGGAAAATGAAAAGATGCTGTTCCATCTTTTCATTCATGCTGGCCTCTCGGTAGCAACATTTGGAACAGCATTCTGGTATGATCCAGCAAGGCTGTTTGTATTATTTTACTGCAGAAAGTCTCAAATTCAATTCTTTCCATAACAGAGCTCTATCTGAGTCTATGCAGAACTGCAGAAAGTTAAAATAAGCATTGCAGATGAGCTAAACAGCTACCTATCTGGCCTATGTGAAAGATGACAGGAGATATAACTCAGCATCTGGAGAACCACAGGTTATCTATCCATGAAATAAAAATTGAAATATAAGAATTAATGGCAAAAAGTTATGAATCTGATAGCACTTTTTCTAACATATTTTATTGAAAGCCCTAAATGTTTCTGAGCTGCAGTTTTGCCTTTTAATAAAGTTTATTACAGGTAGTCCTTCACTTACAACAGTTCATTTAGTGACTGTTCAAAATTACAACAGCACTGACAAAAATACTCATCACCATTTTTCACACTTATGACTGTTACAGCATCCCCATGGTTATGTGATTTATGTTCACATGCTTGACAACTGACTCACATTTATGACGGTTGCAGTGTCCTGGGGTCATGTGATCCCCTTTTGCAACTTCTG